TTCGAAATTTCGGTCGAGCGTCGTATCATCGAGGTATCTTGGAAGGCTAGAGAAATCTTTCGACATATTCGTTTTAACAAATAATCCCGTATAGCAAAACGTCTTTTCCATGCGAATAAGAATATTGATAGAACACTAATCATTGCAAATGTAAGAAATAAGCCACTCATTGTTTCAATGGCAGCACCAGTAGATGCAACAGATGAATCAGGACAACTACTGGTTTGAAACCATTTTCTTTTTAAATCATCAAGAGCACCAGACTCTCTTAATGATAATATGCTTACATCAAGCTCTTGCCCATATACCCATTGTTTAGGAAGAACAACGCCAAATGCACCCTTGTCGAAATCTGCACCAACCAAAGTTAAATTACAATAGATCGTGTTGGTTGCATATTCTCCAACACCGGTGTCTAAGAAAGATGCATCAATAATATTATTCAGTAGACTTTCGTAGAGTTCTTGTCGAGATTTTAATGGATAGTAATTTCGATTTCCACCAGAAATCTCTCGTAAATAATATTCTTCACTTGCTGTACCGGCACGGACACCAATACGATTAAATGGTATTTTACCATTTTTTATATCATCAATACCTGAAATAATTGATTTTGATTTTGATATAGTTAGATCCGATGCTAAATTTGCAGTGTATGTTGCTACTAATACCAAACTTAAGAAGTAAAGACCAAGCGTTAATAATCGTCCGGCTGCGGTGCTTGCATGAAAATCGGCACCATATCCCATAATAGTACCAATAGCATACCATAAACACATGGCAGCTGAAGAAATGATTGATTTATCTTGTAATGCCTCATTTTCCGGTCTCTCTAATAGACAAATCAAAGTACCAGCATAAATACTCGTAATACAAAGTAATATCCAGAGACTAAATGAGAATGGTCTTAGAAATGAGAGAAAGTCTACACTATCATCAGTATTTTTCCGCATAATGATACGTAAAGAATTGTCAAATATTGAATTTGAAAAGACGACTTCTGTTCGTCGACCAGCCGTTATAGTAACATCGCCAATAACAATGTCGTAATCATCATTTGCCACTGCTCTGACTAATCCTGCATAAGTCTGATTTGAAGGTGCTAATAAAATTTCAGGAATAAATTTCATTTTTTCTTGTAAAAGATCAATGAGATCAGGCACAAAACCAATTAATTTTGTTGTACTTTGTCCAAATTCATCTATAACATTTGTAATCATTGTGAAAGGTTTCGATTCAATGACACCAATTCGTAATCTGATACTAGAAAGAGATGCATGACCAGTAGGAGGTATTAATGTATTACCAGGCCATACAATAACACTTCTTCGTAAAGACAATTTCCAGTCGTCTGACTCAGACCATTCTAATACAGATACATAATCGATATAATTTTCATACTGCTGAATATTTTTTACTAAATAATAACTGCCATTGATTCGATCAGTTACGTTTACACTAAATTGTATAGGACCAGATACACCAAGAAATGTCGTATTTATAGTTGTATCGAATAATGTATTCGAGCGAAGAAAACGATGATCAAAACAGAATGAAGAGTTGAAAATAGATATACATGAGGAAGACCAAGTGTTCGTTAATGAACATAATTGTTCCAAAGATTGAATCAATGACCAAGTCGCATCAAATGCAAATAATGCATGGTTATTCACTTTTTTCGGTCCAGGAAATGATTCAGGTTCGTATTGTTCCCAAATATTGTACGCTGCATCTAATAATGTTGAGTTAATGGGTGTATTGACAGCATCTCCGATGGTGGGTTCTATGACCAGTATGCCGATTAACTTTTGATAAGAATTTCGATCAAAAGAATTCAATGCAACATTTGATAGTAATATCCATGTAAACTCTGGACCAAGTATATCATGATCAATGGCATATTGTAAAATAAGAAATGTATAAGTAGATTCGGCCCAAAGTATTACAAGTCGTGTCGAACTACTGATTAATTCATTTTTTAAATTACCTCGAATTTGATGTGTCGTGATATCGAATACGATACTTTTTTTAACTATCAAACCATTGCTATGAAATGCTTGAGTAGTTACTTTTTCACCACCAGATCCAAATGCATCATTTTGATAAATAATGATACAGGATGTCCAATTAAATCGTATGAATAATTTTGTAATCAATAATGCAGCTGTATTATCCGAAGGAACTGTACGATAAAATGCAGGATAAACATTGCGATCAGACAATTCCGGATCAGTTGCAGAATACGATATAACAGGAATACCAATTGTCTGGGCAAAATTAGCAATGACATGAGCTTCGCGTGAAAGTGCTGGTCCAACAATACCGACAATATTGGACGTCAATATTGCTCGACATGTACTACTTAGAGCATTGATCACATTACCACTGGTTTCTGCAGTCTGCCATCCAATCGATTGTCCTTCAATTGTCAGATTGTATTGTTGTGAGAGTAATACTGCTGCTTTGAACATAGCTCGAGAATGAACGGATAATGTGTTTGATTCAAACTCATTTGATGAATATTGAAAGAGTCCCAATAGTTGAATGTTTGATAAGTTCGAAGATGGCCAGATTGCACTCGTATATTTTATCCTCAACAGTTCGATGATTATGAGTAAGAAAAAGTATTGCATTAATATAGAGCTACAACTTTTGATAGGCGGATTGAACCAAATGTGATGAAATAAATAAATTAAACTGAAATAAAAATATTCAAGACAATAAGCAAGAATGTTCTACTAATCCAGAAAATAATTGACATTAAACGCAATGTTATATAATGTCAACATGAACTAAAACTGAACTAACTGCGTAGTTAGCATTGAGTAAGCAGGAACGCATCGAATGACGGAGGAGAGAGATGGAGAGTGGAATAGGCCATTTTGAGTGTATCTCCACAAGGAAAATGTGCTTGCGAGAAGGTTATGAGAACAAAGCTTCTGAAGCAAAACATTTTTTTTTTCGTCAACGTTAAAGTGTCATTTTTTGTGCTTAGTCCTTCCTTTAGAACATTTCTGCATATGTGCCTGCATTGAAGCATAAAATATTTTAGACATTCATCATAATTATTCTTTTACAGTACGTGTTACGAATAGAGAAAGAAAGAAAAAATATACTGTTTATATAACGATGCTTAGGGTAATCATCTCTGGATCCAATCGTGTGTTATCGCCCACATTCATCCTTTCTCACCATCCACTGAACACCTTTTTTTCCGCGAGTTGTGTTCATGCTCTACTATGCATTAAACTAAACTGTAACATTATTCATTATGCATATTTTCCTCTCCAATATTATCGAAGTCTGATTTAATTAACACAAAATAAACAAAGAAGTTCTGCGTTATTCACGTCTTTTCTTTTTTCTTTGACTGAGAGTTATGTTACGATGTGAGTATAAGAAAGAAAGAGAGAGATACAAGCTTGTTAGCGCGGCACCGCTGGGGCTGAAATATAGAATTTACATGTGTTCTTTATACAATTGTTATTAGCTTATTATTTTCTTTTTGGTATTTTGTTTTCGTTAATTTAACATTGTTATTATTATAAGCAGTAAATTAAACGGCAAATAAACCTGTTGTATATATCCATCAAATCTACAGCAGAAGGTCTTAATACACTATGGTATATCTCAATCAACTCACAAACAATGATATTGATTATTTTCCGAACTTCTAACTTGATCAATTGATGTTTTTTGTGTTAATTATATTGACAACTATGAAAAAATCAATGTATTGTTATCCATCATATTTGACATTTTGAGTATAAATTTTTATCTGTGCAAAAATAAAAAACTGCACTTTTCGAAAATACAATTATATAAAATGGAATAAACTTGGAGGATTCTCTAATTTATTCAATTTTTTGTATTTCCCATACTTCTATGCTCTTTAAAGACTTCTCAACCAAACTGGCAACTTTCAAGTAATTATCATGTAAGATTCTCTATTATTTTTAAGAATGAGTAAGACGAACACGGCATCTCGATAGCTCATTCGATTGACTTAAAACAAACGTTTCAAGCTCTGAAGCAGAGGTGTAATTGGTAACGGTAAACAGCCGATCTAGTAGATGTTTCTTTACCGACCGGAATAGAATTTTTTCGAATCTTGCAAGTTCTTTTTCATGATTCAAACCATTTTTACTGTTGGCAAGGACCATCTCTATTGAATAAATATTCATTGCAATACGCTCAATATATTTTATCAAGTCGTTTTGATATCAAGTTATATAATTGAAACTCGTATTATTTATACAGTATCTTTCGTAGAGATATAAAAGATAACAAAGTCAATCTATTTTGAGAAACGGAGTGCATATACAGTTGTTTCGCATGAATTCTATGTCTGACGAACCTTTCATTATTGTACAAAGAAAATATGAAATTTATAATCCAATGACATTTTCTGTCCATCGATAGATGTTAAGACAAAGAAAAATTATGGAAATAAATAGTGAAAAAAAAAAACTTTCAGCACAATTCCTACGAGATTAAAATATTAAAGACGATGATACTCGCTGAAATGTTGCAGACATATTGACATGTCTAGCATAGTCTGTCAGTAGGTTAAACTAATATCGTTGTGCTTGTTTCTGTGATGACTCAGAGGTAGATATTACTAATCGAGAGGTTGATTTGACTCTTATAAGATAAGAAAAGTAAAAAAACCTTCATGCCTGTCTACTCACCGGCTTAGGCTGGTACCGGTAAAGAAAAAGCTGTATCAATTGTAACATTATTATCAGGCACTTGCTCTTGATATATGGTACCATGAATGAATATAAATTTCTTTTGAGAAGGTAAAACTGCATGCAGGCTATGAGATAATAGTTCTCTTTTGAAAAGATGATCTTTGAAGTAGAAGAACATGACGTCATTGTGTGTAAACAGACACGTGTGCATGATGCAATGCAGCAAACAAAATTTGCCATCAAAACTTGTTCTATTCATTCTCTACTATATATAAAGGATAGTAATTTGAATATTGTCCATCACAAATGGACACAATACAAGAAAAACACATTTTATCTGGCAAACATATCATTGTTGCTGGGGCCGGTATTGGTGGGCTGACATTTTGCATTGCTCTGCAACGATTCCTTGAGAATCACAATCGAGAAATAAATCCACCACCAAATATTGTGATATACGAACGTGAAGAGTCCATGGATGTCATCGGACGACAAGGCTATTCGCTTTCTATCAGAAGTGATCCACTAAGTGGAGGAGTGCAAATACTCCAAAAATTGGATCTGCTCAATGAGATACTTGCTGAAAGCAATCCAGGCACACACTTTACAGTCTTCAAAAATGACTTTACGCCATTGATAGAATTTCGATCACCACCTGTCGAAGATCTTTCACAACTAACTCTATGCATTGCACGTTCAAAGCTCCGCGAAATACTCACCAAGAATGTACCACCATCAATTATAGTGCACTGAAATCGTGGTATTGCATCTGTTCAAGAACTTGAAGATGGAAAAGTTTTAGTAACTTTATCAGATGGCCATCAAGAACAATGTGATTTACTCGTTGCTGCTGATGGATCCAATAGTAAGGTACGACGAGAACTTCTGCCCCAACATGAACTTAGATTTGCTTGTGCAGTTTCCATTGTGGCACGTACTCGACCTCTGAACAAGTTGCCTCAGCCCCTAGATACAACATGTGGCGGTGTACTCGGCGGCAATGGACATTTTCTTTTTATTGCACCGACTGATCAAACAAGTGTACTTTGGAGCGTGAGCTATCTTTCAGATACACCCTGCGAACCCAAACCTGCTGGAACTATGAGCGATGCAGAAATTGAACAAGTACTAGCCGACGCTGAACAGCGTTTGAGGCTGTTTTGTGAGCCGATGCCGACTTTTTTCAAAAAAAACACTACATAGTAGTGTCACTGTAACCAATGTCAAAGACATGATGCCCATCAGAAATCATGGCTCTACTATTTTCATTGGCGATGCTCAGCATGCGATGAGCCCATTTTCCGGCAACGGAGCCAACATGGCTGTGATAGATGGATATCAGTTAGCAGAGCAATGGATTCTTGCCAAGAATTTGCCAGCAGCAATTCAAGCGTACGACGATCTTAGTGTTCCTCGTTCAACGACTGCTATTAAGATGAGTCATCGGAACATTGCAATGGATCATTCACAAGGAATTTGGAAGCATTTATGGGTTTTAACACTGAAGTTGATTGCGTGGTACTTTGGTTTCAATCCAAAGCCTGTAGAAAATCGGACATAAATACCGAATATAACATGACAGTTCCTTCTCTCATATTGATACTTTTCTCTTTTTTTTTGCTTAGTGTGTGCGTGGTGTGGATGTAGGATATATGTTTTCTCTGCTCTCACACAGATACACCACTGATTACCCCAATTCTAGGTTGGTTTTGGTTTATTATAGTAGATCTTAATAAATTTCTTACCGATATTCAATCATTTTTTTAATTGATTATTAATCAGTTTTAAGCTGATTTTTTCTTTTTTNTAAGATATTATACTTTTGGTCACAAGTATTTGTGATATAAGAAGTATCCATTTCAAGAAAACAATGGAATATCAAAGGAAAGTGACATAATTCAATCATTAGTTGAAATCTTTTAATAAGAAAATGATTGTTTTATAGTGATATAAAAATTACTAATTGATGTGGCATGGTCGAAAACATCAGTAATGATGATTTAAATGATATTTTGCGAAAGATAAAATTGACAAAATAACGGTTAGATCTCATTAATGTTTGATTCATAACTTTTGAACAAATTGAGATAAAAATTTTGGCCTTTCGTANTAGTTGAGAGACCACGTAACAAATCAAATCAGAGATTCAAAAAATAGATAACATAAAATAAACGTTTAGCGTCAGTAAGCACCATCTACAGACGCTAACACCCGTCAGCTGATGATTCTAATGCACTCATTAAAGTTTAAAACTCATTGTACATTCATAGAGGAACATCCTATTCTATCAAGGTGACAATGGATCGCTCGCTACTTAAGAGATAAATCTCAATAATTTTATATGGATCGATGCGCTGAATAAGCCTCTTTCTAACGGTGAAAACCGCAGCTCTTTATCTTGTTCCTATCAAAAGTTATTCAAAGAATACCCACCCGCCTTCTTTTTTGAAACGGGCAGTAGTTTGCTTGATACACCCACACCGATACCCTTGTTAAATTGTAATGTCTTATGACTAGATGAGAAGAGTCAAGATAAGAAATTCGAGACAATTGTTAACGCAATTTTTGACTTGTCTCTAGCAATTGATCATCATCACTCGGAGTCAATGACAATGACTCATGTCTAATATAAAATAATTCTACAGGATATATTGATAAGCATTGTTCGATAATCTCAGTGATGTAACATATTCAAAGTTGAGTGGTAAGTTTTGAATAAGATTAAATTTTGATTTCATTACAACATGATCGAAATTCAAATGGTAATATCTATATGAATGTAATAATAATTGAAACAATAATTAAGTGTACTAAATGAATAAATAATATCATGGCAATACAAATATTGAAATATAATTAGCATTAATTCATTGTGTAGCAATTCAAACTTGGATATAGTTGGTTTTGATATTTTCGATGCTCGAAAAAATGATATAAATTACGTTTCAATCTGTTATCATCGTCGTCACCTTTATTAGAATCGTTTAAACCAAAACATTGTCGAAGTAACATGATCTAAAAGTGAACAATCGAAAATCAATATGTATCTTGTGGAAATATATTCTGTATCAATGGATTGGCAAGCATTTTAGCCTTTCAAAAACGTTCTTCATAACATTCGAAACACGTTTTTCAAAATGTTTCTTGTCATTGAGTATGCCTGCTTTAATTGATTATTTGTAACACAAGCTTGAGTTTTTTTCTTTAATGAGAGGCTTGCTTCTTGGTTGTGATGTTCTCAATTTTATTTTTAAAGTAAAAAAATTAAGTGTGTTCGAGTGAATAAAGAAAAACGCATCATTCTATATGTTTCAGCATTCATCAAAATATAGCACGATAGTTGTCGGAAGTTCTGATGCAACGACATTAAAAAATGCCAAGGTGACAGGGAAAATGCATGGTCAATGTTTGATTGAATCTGTATTAGGGGTGTACATCTCACACTCATGAGCGCTCATATAAGCGTGAGTGGTTCTTTCCCTGTGGAATATGGGACATAACGGCTATGATTAATGCAGTTGCTGGTACAACAATTTAAAACAGATAGCACTTATTCGAAATTTGTCACAACTGGCGCGAGCTATAAATAGAAAGTTAATGTTACGCAATTATCTACTTTATGAATTATTCGGTAACTGAAAGGTGAAGCATTCTAAATTTCATTCTTTTGCCAACGGTACATTTTTTTGAGAAAATAACGAATTTTTATAAGGTTTAGCTGAAGATAATTGGGGTCGGAGAATTCGAATCTACTATTAGTTTCTCAAAGGGTGGGTGTGGATGGGTGTATGCGTGGGTGCAAGCGTATTTTTAGTAGAAGGCGGTATTGATACTCACACACCGGCAGCCGTATCCATACCCACACTCTCTGCCACTTAATCAAATGATCCATCAACCATCAAATAATTCTTCATGAAGCTCAACAACATCTCAATCAAAACGAAAATTTCCATTAAATTACGTGCTTTCACGATTTGATCAAACACTTGAATTAGCTGCTGAAGATCCATCATCAAAAGACTTTGGACCACGATGTAGAAAGAAACAACAATTAGTTAAAACAATGCGTGATGATGTGGTTAATACTTATGGTATTGATTCTTATCCAACAGCATTTCAATTTGATCGAGTGATAGTTAGTGTGAAAAATAAATATCCAGCACTTAGGAAAATATTTGGTGAAAATATGGTATGTATAATAGAAGATCCAATACTTTTGTCATTATGGAATTTTTTTCTCATTTAGAACCTATTAACATCAGCATTGAAACAGCAGTTCTCTCGTAATCGACAATTATCCAGCTATTTATCTGAAGTATTAGTGAAAAAACATCAATCATATGGACATCAAATGTCTGACCGAAAATTGAAATTTGTGATGGTGGAATTAGTATCTTGTCGGGTAAGCATTGACCTATTAGTCTATTTGTTAATTTTTTGTCTTTTAGGAATATTTAGTCGAGAAAAAGAACAATCAGAAGAGTCTTTGAAACAATTGCGTCAACGTGCAGAATCAATGCGTATTTTAATTAAGACAATAAATTATGATTATGGTTAAGTTAAAGCTAAAATGGATATAACTTATTCTTATCGTGAACGTCTTGTTCGGAAGATGAAGCCAATCAAAGAAATTGTCCAATTATATCCAGCTTTATCAGTGACAAACTTTGTAAGTATTAAAGAATGTTTTCTATTTGATCAACCAATAACACTATAGAATATTCTCAAGTTTTATTGGTCCATTCAGATAGACGCTTCTATATTTTTGGCATTATTTATTTTTTTATTTATCATTTTTAGCCCTTGTGACCCCAATATCTTCTAGAGGGAAGCATTTGAAAATGTTTAGTCTATGGCAATGTTTGCTCAACTTATCGAGATCTATCAGCCCTGAAAGTTTCAAAATTTTCTGAGAAACCGATTCTGAAAAGTGCCGGAAAGAGGGGGCCCTGAAGCTATGGCTGCTTTGATTGGATCGTACGAAATATTCAACATGGAGTATCCAGCAAAAATACGAGCAATATTAGAAGTCTTGCATGATTTATTATTCAAAGAACGATCATTTTCGTTGTCATTGGTTGCAAAACGATTTTTAAATGAACATAAATTTAACAATCATACATTATGATCATACATTCTTCTACGTGTAATTGTATGTAAATGTATCACTTCTCAAATTGTGCTAGTCATTGTATTTAGTCTATTTTTATGTACACTTTTTTTATCTTGTCACATTAACTGATTTATTTTTTTTTATTGTTAGTAGTTCCGAACTATTGTTTCATCAGATTAAGATGTTTTTGTTTTTTCTCGCATTATATATTTTGAACATGAAGTAAAAAACAAAAACTTGATAATATGATGAAAATAAAAATTGATTTTCAAATTTATAAAAAATACTCCAATCGCTAAACTCAATGCAAAATTCTAGGAATGTCCATACGAATTCACTTTCGATTTTCTAATTAGAAAATCGAATTTCTTATTTTTATCTTCTTGAATATCGTATTTTCAAGAAAGTAGAAATTCATCTCCGAAACTGTATAGGCATTTCTAGAATATCCTTTTCTGTACTCTATAACTTATTTTCTATTCTGAAGTGTACGAATGTGTATCTGTCTTGAGACCCTTTGAAAATGATTTTCATTGTTCGGGTAGGAGCATTTCTATCCTTATTTGATAGTCGAACGATGCTTTCGATAGTTAATCCTACTTCCGTCAATATGTCGATTATCCGACTTTCAGGCATTTCTGGGTCAACTTGCTTGTCGAAAGCGATTTTTTCCGTATCTTTAAATACGTTGAATTAATCTAAGCATGTATATTGTTGCTGTAGTTTTCACATTAACCGAAAGAATTTGAATAAGATCCTTGAATAAACGATTACATGTTAAGATCTGTTGTATGATGTGTAAAAGTTCCTGAACGGCTAAGTTGTATATCAGCAACTTGTATGTCACTTAAGTGCTGTCTTAACATATCATTTAATTCAAGTTTATTTAACCTAACATACTCCAGAATAATACATGTAATAGAAGAATACGATTCATTTCTGATTGACGTTTGAAATTTTTATGCCGATGGTATAATGTTAGGCATAGCGAGCGGGTGGTTGACATGGCGAGTTGTAGTTGCCTCGAGACTGACCGTATTTTCTGGCTTCACCACCGCCTCTTCTTCATGGCATTTACAAACGTGACCACAAGGCCTTTAAAATATAATAAAGTTTACAATACCTTGATTATCTGCTTGTATTGGATTTTGCTGATGATTCATGTCTCTGAGGTACAGGTGGCGAAAGAAATGCAAATAATGAGACATGCGAGATAAAAGAGACAAGATGAAATACGTCCGCTGTGCATCATGTGCATGTGATGAATGTGACGTTGTGCATGGTCTTGAATTGTGATATTTCGCCTTTTTTTCTTATGCATTACTTTGCTTTAGAAAAAAATAAATACGTAGAACAGAAAAAATACTTCAATAGATGCAATAACGATAGCATGTGCAATTGCTCTTTCTTCGTGTTATTTCTCATCACTACTTCTACCTGCTTTTGTCTCTCGTGTATTTCCCTTATTTTTGACTACTCATACATAGACTTTCGTATTGATTTCCTTCGCTTAGAATCGTTTCGTTTGATGTACTTGGAATTTGATCTAAATATAAATGAGAGTCAAACTATTTTTTCCAATCCTTATGTTAAAGTAAATGAGATGACTTATCATATGACTGTGAAGATTGGTTATGCAGTGTTATATGAACTCATTATATTATACTTTCACATCAATTTTCTCACTCGATCACTGTCATTTTGTCCATACATTTCATCTCATAGAAGATCAATTTTGCGTATTTGTATGAAAAAAAATGAGCGAACAAACAAACTATAGAATATATATTCTAGATTATTTATATCTTCGCAAAAAAATCATTGATATTCTTATATTGTTCTCATCCACATCTCACCTTGATTCTAAAGTATTGTCCACCATAGACAAGACTCTTATTATGCATAGAGACGCTATAATTGAATTCTCATTTGACTCATTCAGACTTTTTCTAGCAGCTTTTAGTCTCGCCGTTGTTGCTGCTTTATGTAAGCCAAAGGTCGAGCGATATTATAGCTTGCGCCTTCAACTTTGGTACATTAGACTTGGATTAAATTGGAAATGGTTTCAAGATATTCTATTGGTTATCTTCTGTATTTTGAGCATAACATTTATCGATTTTGATTCAGGCTTGCTCGAACTCACTGTGTTACAATCAGTCGTCATTTTAATTCTATGCGCCAATTACGCATTTGATTTGGCTTCATGTTTTATTTTGTCCAGCGATGTTCAATGGTCGACATTGGTCGTTTGTTATCAGTTGGAAAATATTGATATTGCACACCACATAATCGGACTGATTGGTTGTGGCTATCTGTGGTGCACACGTTGTGGAGGCGGAATGATGGTACGGCTTCTTCTTGATATCTTAACTAATCTACTTTGCGCAGTACGAGAGCATTTTCCACAATGGTTTTATGGATCGTTAATCCGACAATGGATATGTGATAAATTGTTCTGGATTATCTGTATTTTTATTCGACTCTGTTATTATCCTCTTGTCCTTGTGCAAACACTTGCCACGATCGTTGAGTTTATGTCAATTGCCGATCATTTGACACACTATTATATCCTTTTCCTCTTTATAACGTGCTGGTTCATCTTCAGTATGATGTATCAAGTAATCTGGATAAGGGATAACTTCAAAAGTCATACACTGGTGGCCAAAACTAACGCTGCCAGATGAAAACTACTTAAACCTCAACCATTTAATACGAAAGAGTGAATATAAGACTGCTACGAGATACATTTATTCAAAATGTTTATTGAAAATAAATAAATATAATGATTCAAGCTTTCGCCACTTTTTCAAAGGGCATCATCAGGAATGACATTTGTTAGTTTATGAACGAATATATATAAGAGAGAATGAGACAGTTAGTTAATTGGACTAATTTAAATGATTCTCATCTGGTCGTTCATCTGATCAAACGACCAGATGAGAATACTCTATCGCAAAAGGTCCTTAACAGGGCTAGCCAAAAATGAGAATGGAATGCTTTTGTGTCATTGATTCCTTTTCATTTTGTCTGGAGGGTGTGGGTGTGGGTTCATAGAGTAGAAATATGTACAACCACACCCTCCAAAGAGTACACAAAATTTTCATCTTATTTTTGATATCATCTTAAAACACAATGATTCTTGATGGATGAGCGAGAATGATACATTATCCGCACTGTTGCTTGTCTCTTTCGTTGTCTGCATACTACCTCGTGCCTGTAATGAATGTTATGCGCTTACTCTCTTTCTTCCATATTCTACTAGTTACATTCTCATCCTGTTCTCTTTTGTGCATGTTTTTCCATACAGTCGTTTTTCTTCTTTCATTTTATCTATTACAATATATCATTGAGGTGCAAGAATTGAGTTGATTTCAGTGTTATTAGTCTCTATTTCGAAATGATTAATCTATCGAACGTCCTGAAGAATCTTGCTGATCGAGCTTCGAATTTACTGCCTTGTGTTTTTTCGACCACATCGGATCCCACCGCCTCTATTACACACCATGATTGTAAAGTAGCTGACCTGCTGTACAATGTGCTTGAGTCGATCATCAACAGTCATTCGCACACTTTCGAGGTTGAAAGTGCCCTCGATCATGAATCAGATGACGGCGAGTTAGTCAATGAGGTAGAGAACGAAAATGATGAAGTCGAAGAATCACTTGATCTTCAATATTGTGGTGAAGAAGAAGACGAGGATAGAATATTGGGTAGCAAATTTTCACTCGAACGCATAACTCGAACAGTCAATTTCTACGATGAAGTCAATCCGAAAACTGGCCAACGAAAGCGGTGGTGGTCGACAGTGAAACATAACTTCTGCCACATCCCGCATCAAACCTACATCGCTCGTTTTCGTCGATATCTAGAGAGACACGGCACAAAGAAGCAGAAAATTGGCAAGGTTGATGGCTATGTGATTGATATATTCGAACGGGTTCGTGGAAATGCTCTTCCCGTACATGGTATTGATCTTCGTCGGTGGGCGTTGGAGAAAGCTATGGATGAATCTTTACACGATTTCGTGGCTTCACGCTATTGGCTTTATAGGTTCAAACATCAGCATAATATTATATCGCGCAAGGTGACGAAGGTAAGAAGATTCATGATTAGTCCTCAGAAATATGTGTAAAATACCCTTGTTTCTGACAATCAGACAAAAATGAAAAAAAATACCATTTAGCGAGTTCTACACATCTATGTTTGACGCGAAACACAAAATCAAGAGACAATTCAAGCTTCAGCCAATCACTTCGTGGCTGATGTTCGCAAACGTTTACCGAAACATGAAGCGAGCGATGTCATGAACACCGATCAAAGTGGAATCGAACTCGAACTACACTCCACTCGGACATTGAGCTTCAAGGATGAGACAATCACTGTTGCCGCTGTTCGCTCTACCAACGCCAACACTCACACCTATACGGTGCAGCCTACCATCACAC